GGCCTGGGCTCCAGCGTCTTGGCCACACTACCACTTCAGGAGCGCATTATTTCTCTAATAATTTTAACGGCCTGGAGTCACAACCACACCTCAAGACATTGTTCAGATAGTTTATTTCAAGACATTTGTCGTGTTTCCATCCTGAAAACTTGTGTGTTGAACTAATTTACGCACCTCAGTCCAAATGATCCGGTGCTAATTCCAAAACGTAATTTTAGGGCAAATAACGGAGGCTTGAGTCATTGATATGCAGGCTAATGCAGTTATTAGAGAGAGAGAGAGATTAAGCACATATGACTGTGAATACCTGCGTCTGTGCGTCTCTCAGCAGCAGCGTCTCTACTAATAGCGAATAAATTTAGAATTGCTTCAAGAAGCTCGCTACTGAGAAATGTCATGTAGCTTTTCAGCTGCAAAACTATTTTATTTATAAATTTGCGGGGCAGCGCTGACAAGAAGTGTGTGTGCACGAGGGCGAGAGAACGGGAGAAGGAAAGCATGATTTTCGTACATAAAGGTGGAAAACATGAAAATATTTTGTCATTTTTTATCCTGTTGTTTGTTATATTTATTTGCTCAATGTCTTTCTGTTTTTCTGTTCTGGTTCTGTTATAGATAGCCCATAGAAAAATAAAAAGGCTTTTGTTTTTCTGTCAATTGTCTCTAAGACAATGTAACTATAAAAGGACAAAACAGTAGTTCATGATCATATTCTTAGAGGTATTACCCAGAAAGAAAATATTTGACAAACCTCCTCCATCACGTGCTGTTTCTGTGCTCTCTTTGAGATCAGAATCCTTCTCTTTCTCGTCTCCTCTGACTGAAGCTCCAGATCTGCTCAGATCTTCATCCACTTGTGTTTCTTCACCTTCATCCTCACACGTGTCACAGATGAGAAATTCTATACATTCTTTCTTGAGCATCTCTTCTGTCCTTCTGAACAACTCAGAGCGCCATCCTGTGCTTACTGTATTAAACTTCAGATGTCCTCCTCCACACTCCTTTATTAAATCATGAATAGCACTATTTGTGCTCTTATAAGCCAGAGACATGAATCTGCGTGTCTCTTCATCAGTAGTCAGCACTATAGTGTGTTTCATGGCCTGATAACTGAAGAGGTTCAGCACATATTTCACTCTGTGTTTGTCGTTCTCACTGAAGTTCTTATTCTGCAGTACGAGTACAAACACATGAGGTCCTGGAGCAGACAGAGACACACACTCTCTCACTCCCTGTGTGATCTGTTGATGTAAGAGATTTGGCTGGAGCAGGTGAGTGTTGATGACTGTGATGTGTCTCCCCTCAACCTTTCCACTGACTCTCACACTGTACTGCTGTGAGTAAGATGGAGCTTCTCTGTGAAACATTATTGTACCCAGTATACTGTTTGCCACCCGTCTGTTTTCTGATCCATTCTTTCCTAGCAGCACAATCCTCAGATCACTCACTGAAAAAGAGCACAGACACACACACAATGCAATTAAAAGCACTGAACAATCTCATAGTAAAAATCCTATAGAATTAGCAGATTTTACACAGGACACAACAGTAATGTTAAAATATCAAGTAACCCTTTCAGAAGCTTTAGGAACATCTACGAAAGATAGACATTTGTTTAATACTGAAGAGTTATCATTAATCATTTTATTGATTTACTACTGGGATGATCGTTACTTTTATGAATTTTATACACTTTGTTCACTAATAATTAAAGAATGGCAGCTGCATAGAGCCCCGTGATTCACTAACACTGATTCAGTACAGTAACCAGTACAGTAGGCTCTCCGTGGGCCTCTATCATTTCTCTGTACCCAGTTTGAAAATCAGTTTAGGGCTCTCAATATGCTAGTCCTCAGTTAACAGACTGATCTCACAGGAGATCACCAACAGGAGGAGGAATTTTGGCCATTTTTCATTTTTTGCTCTACGCTCTAGGTATTCTGTATCAAAAGAACTGTATAGTGTCTGACTCGAATGAGATCTCAGCTATGATGGACTGGAATACTTTTCAATGAATGACAACTTATGCCAATCTGTTCCTCACACAAAGTTACTGTATGGGTTCAGAAGACTTGGAATTCAGGCCCAGATCTGTTTGGATTAGTTCTATGATACTTTTATGGTGGCCTTCATCATTTTTGGAGAATGAGGGTGAAAATCAGTGTCAACTTTGATTTTATGAAAAAGAGCATCTTTCATTAAAAACAGATAAATACAGTTCTATATACAAATATAGTACAATATGAATAATTTCCATATGTTGCTTCAGAATTATATTCATTGTGAAATGTGCTTTACAGATAAATCTGAATTTAATGTTTTAGTTCAATGCTGTTTTATTTTTATTACTTTATTTTATTTTAATTTAATGTGGGTAGAAAAAGTAACTTAATATGATATAATATTTCCAGATAAAATATTCTTAAACTTCTTCATAATAAATATTCTTAAATTTGCTTTGGCTTTACGGCAGCAATAAAAAAAAATGTTAAAGGTTAAATTATTACATAATTTTAAAAAAAATAATAATTTATGTTTAAACTTATAATATGATGCTAGTGCTGGGCGGTATGACCAAAAATTTATATCACGGTATTTTTCAAAATTATACCGGTTTCACGGTACATGACGGTATTTTTTTTTTCATGCATGACCGGGTGTTAACAGCCAAAATCATCACAATTAAAAGAACCAAAGACTTAAACTACTTCAGTCTGTGTGCATTGAATTTATTTAATACATGAGTTTCACAATTTGAGTTGAATTACTGAAATAAATGAACTTTTCCATGACATTCTAATTTATTGAGATGCACCTGTACATGTTAAACACATGCTGTATTAAAAGCTACAGACAGCTGCTTTAATGCAGTGCTGCAGATATGGCGTCAAAACCTACAAGACTAATTCACTGTGGGCTTTTATAATGGGGTTTCTCAATTTTATCAGTGAAATAAGGCCTGTGGAATTTGCACACACCTGTATTGAAAAACATGAATTTTGAAGCTGTTATGTTTATTTAAAAATATTATTTTTAATATGCAACTAGATAAGTAAGTTTGGGGCATGAGTGTGTTAATGTTTCATTGTAGAGCAAAACGTTTAAGTATTGTTATGTTTACGACAGAGCTAAACCTCATTATACAAACTCATAGTGAAATCTGGAGGGAAGCAGTGGTGAATTAAGTTTTCTGGGTTTTGACGCCACGCTTGCAGCACTCTGTGATCAGCAGGTGTGTAACTAACCTCTGCAGGACAGTAGCTCTTCAGGAGCAGATGTGAATACAGACACAGGAAGGGAAGTACAGAAAAACCCTTCACATTTACTATAGAAAGCCAGCACCAGTTATTTGGATCATCAGTAATGTTAAAAATGATTCACATGACATGACATTTTTCTTTTAGTTCCTTTCATAAACTTTTCATTTCATATAGTTGCTTACTCTCTCCTTGAGCTCCTGAACGTGCTGCTCTTTTCTCTTTCTGAAATCATTAAATTCTTCTCTTTGTTTTCTGGCTTCATCTTGATGTTTCCTCTTCATCTTCTCTATTTGTTCTTCATGTTTCTGTTTCATTTCATCACACTCTTTTTCTTCTCTGTCTATTCTTTCTCTCTCCTCTCTTTCTCTTCTCTTGATCTCCTCCTCTTGCTCTCGTTTCAGATCTTCTATCACTTCCTCCCATCTCTTTCTCTTCTCCACTCGTCTCTCTTCATCCTCGTTTTCTTCTCCTCCTCTCCTCTTTCCTCTCTCGCTCCAGCTGCTCAGAATGTCTCTCCATTTCATCTATCTTCTCTTCATATTCTCTCATCTTCTGTTCTCTCTCTCTTTCAATCATCTGTTCTTCTTCTTCTCTCTCGCTTTCAAATTTCTTTCTCTTGTTCTCCAGTTCTTCTTGTTTTTCTCTCAGCTGTTCATTGTGTTTCTCTCTTTCCTCTTCCTCCCATTCTCTCTGCTGTCGTTTCATTTCCTCTTGAGTCTCTTTGTCATTTTCTGCCTCTTTTATTTTTCTCTTCCATTCTTCTCTCTCTTTCTTTTCTTGTTCCTTCATCATTTGTTCCTCTGAATCTCTCTTTTTTATTTCCTCTTCATGTTTTATCTGTAATTCTGCTAAAGTATGTTCATGATCATTTTTCATCTTTTCTTGCTCTCGTTTATACTCTTCTTCTCTCTTTCAATCTTCTTCTTCTCTTTCTTTTAGCTCTTCTTCATACTGTATTCTCTGATCTTCAAGCTCTCTCTTCATCTCTATTCTTTGATCATATTCAGCTCTTTGCTCTATCTTTTCTTCTGATTGTTTCTGATCCTCTGTCTCTCGTTTCTTCTGCTCTGATCTTTCTTTCTCCTCAAACTCTCTCCTGAGTGTTTCCTCTTGTTCTCTGAACTTGTTCTTCAGCCTCTTTCTTTCCTCTTCTGTCCTTTGTTTTCTCTCCTTCAGTCTCTTTCTCATACTCATGTCTTCAATGTCATATTTAGCTTGTAATTCTTTAATTTGAGTGAGTTTTTTTCTTTTATTCTTGTCTATCATTTCCATTCTCTGTTCAATGGAGATCACTGCCTCCTCAAACATCTCATTAGTGAAGTATTGGCCCTGATTCATCTCTTCTATCATATTTAACAGATGAGTAACTTGTGTCTGATCTTGTGTCTCTGTGTTGTTAAAAGCCAGGAATCTGTTTCCACAGTCACTGATCAGTGTCTTGAGTTCAGCATTTTTCTCTACATATTGCTCTATTGTTTGTCCTCTCAGATCATCTCCTCTAGTGAAGAGAACAATGCAGAAATCTGCTGCTTTTGAGCCAAAGATCATCTTGATCATGTCTAAAGTGTCTTTCTCTTCTCGAGTGATTCCTCCCAGACTCGGCACAATAATAAACACATGTGGTCCAGGTGCTGACAGTGAAATACACTTCATTATTTCTTCCTGCAATTGTTCATTTGTCAGTGTCGTGTCAAAGAGTCCTGGAGTATCAATAACAGCTACTGATCGACCATCAACTTCACCAACTCTCTTCTGACAAACAGTGGTCACCAAACGTGAACTGGCTTCACTGTGAAACTCTTTTGTTCTGAGGATAGTGTTTCCTGTGGAAGACTTTCCACTTCCTGTCCTCCCAAAGAGCAAGAGTCTCAAACATCCCGGATCTGATGGTGAATCTTCATCATCTGGAAATGACAAATAATAGAGTTTACAGATTAACAACAATTAATTAAATATGGGACCCTGACCAACAAGTGTTAACAAGTTCTGTAGCTTGTAATAAAAGGTGATGAGGATGTTGAAGACTGCAGCATAGCAGTGACAAAGTACAAGTAATACCTTGGGTTCAACGGAGTCAGAATGAACCCCGAAAATCCTAAGCTCAAACCTTTTCTACAGTTACGGTCTACTACCCTTAATGTAAATGAAGTTGCTCTTGTCGTAACAGCTGTGCTCTGTATGTTAATGAAGTTCTGACACCCCTTTGTCTGAGGTGGTTCTCGGTGTCCCATACCCGCTCTCATTCTACAATTGGTCACCATTTGCTCATAATGTGATCATCCCAAATGATCTAGAAACAACATAACTGTTGACTTTCATCATCTCTATAATAATCAATACAAACATAAGATTGTTGTTTAGCATAGTAGGTCATTCATACCACATTATATTAGAATAGGTACCCCTTAGTTTCGAAATACTTACAGTATAAATAATTTGTAATTTTACAGGTTGTTACCCCTTTATTTCCCAAATGTCGCATATTATTCTCTTATAACTGCACAGAGGTACTGAATAGGTACACTATAATAACAAAAAAGTTATGCTGCAAATTCTGTTTACTTACACTGTAAATTGCAGGCTGTAATCTAAAGTGTTACCAACTTTCTTAATGCAGTAGCTACATCTATACATCAAAATAATCATATAGTACAAATTCTTCAGGACAGTGATTATGTACACAGCTCCGCTGAAAGCTTGCGAGTGGAATAATACTCAGGTGGTAGACATTTGTTAAGCATGTCATATCTTCGGAATATGTTTATTTGTGTTACAGTATCTCACAGAAGTGAGTACACCCCTCACATTT